CTCTCCGATCCCATGGGGCCCTCCCAGATTCCAGAGCCCTCTGGCCTAGCCCTCGTTTGGAGATGGTTTTAGGGCTATTTTCGACCCTCTGGCCCTCTAGACCCTTCGGTTGGAGATGGCCTTACGTTTCAAACTTCAAACATCTTCGAATCTTTCTTTTCTCTCACATATCATCATCTCCTTTCTCAAAATGTATTATAATGTTTTTATACCTACGAAAAAGGTGTATATTTAATTTCAAAGATATGATCATTTGATTGCTTGCCACGTAGATCGATTTTCTATTTTAATACTTAGGAATTGTTTTCTCCAGTTAAAGAATTTAAATATTATTATCTAAAAAGGTAAAATTGGTATAAAAACAGTTAATTAGATTACTGTACTCACGCTCAAAACAACTTTTTTTTTTTTACCTAAATCTAAAAGCACCTTAAAACTTATTATACAATGATGTCCTCAAGTGTAATGTTATTTTTATATTTGCTTCTTTACTGCAGGTGAGCAAAGTTTCATACTTTCCATTTTCTCAAACATGTTTAAGAGGATCACATTCATCTTGTTGGTTGGATTGCTGGCGTGGGCATATCAGGCCGCCCGACCACCACCTCCGAACATCTGTGGTTCGCCTGGCGGTCCACCCGTCACAGCACCTAGAATAAGGCTAAGGGATGGAAGATATTTGGCCTACAAGGAACATGGTGTTCCAAAACAAGTGGCCAAGTACAAGATTATCTTTGTTCATCCCTTCTTTAGTCCCCGACATGATCCAATCATTGCAACAGCCGTCTCTCCGGTACTGCCCTGCTTGATTCTTTGCCATTTTTCAGTTCAACTCTTTATTGGTTGATTTCGTGGTGGGTGTTTTTTTTTTCTTTCCTCAGGAAGTTATTGAAGATTTAGGTGTGTACATTGTGTCTTTCGACAGACCAGGGCACGGTGAAAGTGATCCAGATCCTAAGCGAACAACGAAGAGCTTGGCGTTAGATATAGAGGAGCTTGGTGATCAGCTGGAACTCGGATCCAAATTTTATGTGATTGGATACTCAATGGGAGGACAGGTCATCTGGAAGTGTCTTCAGTACATCCCTCATAGGTAAGATTTTGCAAGCAGCCTCGTTACCTGATGATGCATCGTTCGATACTGAAATTTCTCTCTAAAGTTCGATATGTTTGGGATGCCTGTTACAACAGGCTAGCTGGAGCAGCACTGATCGCTCCTGCGATCAACTACTGGTGGCCAGGACTTCCTGCCAACCTGTCATCTTATGCCTATAAGAAGCAAGCTCCACAGGATCAATGGGCGCTTCGAGCTGCTCACTATATACCTTGGTTAACCTACTGGTGGAACACTCAGAATTTCTTTCCTAAACACAGCGTTTTATCCGGGAAAGTAGAGAATCTGCTTTCCCGCCAAGATTGGGAAACCATTAGGAATGCAAAGGTTTCTGGAAGAGAAAAGCACAAGGTACTTTCCTTATTCGATCGCTAATTGTTTACGATTTTATAGAAACTCGGCAGCGTTGATGATTTTTGTTTGTTTTGTTATTTGTTTGGGCAGGAACATGCCACACAGCAAGGAGAAGCTGAGTCCATCTTTCGCGACATCATAGTTGGATTTGGGAGCTGGGAATTTGATCCTACGGATCTGAAGAACCCTTTTGTCAACAACGAAGGCTCGGTCCATTTATGGCAGGGTGATGAAGATAAGTTTGTCTCAGTTGAGCTGCAACGCTATATTGCAGGAAAGCTTCCATGGATTCACTACCATGAGTTACCAGGTGGTGGACATTTGTTGCCAGCTGCAGATGGTATGAGTGAAGTCATCTTAAAGGCACTTCTAATTAAAGAGTAGACCATTGACGTCGTCGATACAGGGCAGCTCTCTCAGAGATGCTACATTATATACTAATTATGTTCCAAGACAAATCTTTGTAATGTTACAATTCAAATAGAGGAAATAATGAAGAGTCGATTCGAAATTAGTTGTATGATGTTCCATATCGCAGGCCATTTTTATGGTTACATCCAGCGAACTCGTACCTGGCAGGTGAACGAACTGCAAAGTTGGAACTACACAAATGACAGATGCAATGTGATTCGTGCAAATGTAACACCCGGAAGGTAAAGCATCTCTTTAGAAACGCGACAATTGAAACTACTACAGGGACAAGGGGTTAGAATTTCCACCCATGTAATACCTGCATGTGGTCCAATATATCCTAGTAATAGGACGTTGAATTTCCACCTATGCGTCCAGGGCTCGAAACCCCCTCTCCCTCAAATTATTGGAATAGTTTTGAACCTCCCCCTCCCGTTAATAGTAATTAAAAAAAATATATTACAGAGACTAAAATCAAACTTTGTACATGCCAGCGCCACTCTGTTAGTTCTTCTACTGATCACCATTTTCCGGCTTGTACTAACTGCTAGGTATCATTTTTAGTGAAATCTATCAATCTTGTACCAACTGCTAGCTATCATTTTTAGTGAAATCTATCAATCTTCCATTTCTAATTCCTGCTAGAAGTGAAAGATGCAATGCCGTACTTTCGAATGAACAAAAGAAAATTTATTCATTATTGTGTCAAAGACAATGAATAGAAAGACCATAATTGGAATAAAGAACAAAAAATAAGTTACAAATGCATGAAACAAGCATCAGAAACTGTCAAACTGCGAGCAACTCGGATAATCATTTCAAACCAATTCTTCGGTTTAGCCTAAAAGCATTATCCATACAACCATTTGAATAGGCCTGAGAAGGAATACGGTGTTGTGGAACAAAAGAGTCCCGAGCTTACTTCAACAATCCATTTTCAGGGTTGAGAAGAAGTATCTAATTTCAGACGAAAAGGAACACAGAGAATACCGCCATGATTCTCCTGTTCTTGGACCTAGTTCCAATGAAGAAGAAAAACATTATCTCTACACTTCCCATGTGACCAGCTCCCCATTTTGAAGAAAAACGTTCTTTTTCCATTTCCCACGTGACCAACTTCCCAATTTTCTCTTTCTTTTTCTTTTTTTTTAATTGTTCACCTATCATTTTAATTGATTGAAATTGACATGTTTCTTGATTTGCTCTCCAAACTTTTACAAAGTTGTTAAATATTTTTTTTTACTTTAATTTTAGCTGATTACATTTTTAAACTTTTATAAATAAACAAATTTTCCCAATTAGGTTTTGAATTTTTTTTCATTCATCATGGTCATGCAAACAATATATGACAACTGTATGACGGTAAAAAGGTAAATTTTTTTGGTAAATTGAGTGGAAAGCCAATACATTAGAGCTGCTTATTGGACTCTCATGACTGATTCAAACAGAAAGTGTTCGGAGTCCACTAAAGGAAGAGAGAAGGGTAAAAAAAAATAAGCAATTTGAAATCCACATTAATAATAAAATTACTTTATTGGTCTCAAACATTTGTTTTGAATGAAAAATTCCAATATCTAATCTTAGGATTAAAAATTGGTTATTATAAAAGTTCAAGCAAATAATCAACTAAAATTAAAATTCATACAAAAATTAGAAACTGTTTACAAGCTTGGGGAGGAGATAATAGACAAATAACTCATTAAAATTATTAACAAACCTTAATCCTACTAATCTTTATAAAAAATTTAAATTTAAATTGACCAAGTTTTTTTCTTGACTTTGCCATCTTCGGTCGTCACTTTGACAAAATATGCAATCTGGTCCATATTTCTATTTGATATTCATTAAAGTCAGCAGGTGACCTAAGCCAAGTCAGTCCTAGACAACAAACGAGCGTTAAAATAGGTGAAGGTGGGGGCCTTCACGTAATTTAACAATAACGTGAACACTTTTACTCACCACCAATACTCTTTATCATCTGACACATGTCATTTTAACTAATTCTGATTAACTTTAATTTTTTTTAACAAACGATATTATCTACACTAAGGGAGTGTGAGATTTTGAGGGATTTTAATTATTTTAATGAATCTAGGGGTATTCAATCAGGATTTTAAGTGATTATCTGAAATTCAATGTGTATTCAATCAGGATTTTAAAATACTTGATTAAAATCCTTAGAAATCCGAGTGTATTCAATTAGAATTTTAAAAAAGTTTATAACATTTTAGGTGTATTCAATTAGAATTAGAATTTAGAGAATTTGGAGAAGTTGAGGAATTAGAGGGAATTGGAGAGATTTTGTAGTGTATTTTAAGCATTCACAAATCTCACATTTTCCCATGAGATTTCGAGGGAATTGAATCAAAATTTTACATAAAATCTCTACAAATCAGTTGAACTCAATAAAAATCCATGGATTTATAAATCCATTAAAATCTCTCAAATTCCCAATTGAATACACCCCTTAAATGGAAAGGGAAGGGGATGGACTTATGGGGGTGTATTCAATTGGGAATTTGAGAGATTTTAATGGATTTATAAATCCATGGATTTTTATGGAGTTTAACTGATTTGTAAAGATTCAATGTAAAATTTTGATTTAATTCCTTCGAAATCTCATAGAATATGTGAGATTTATGGATGCTTAAAATACACTACAAAATCTCTCTAATTCCCTATAATTCCTAACTTTTCCAAATTCTTTAAATTCAAATTCGAATTGAATACACTTGGAATGTTATAAACTTCTTTAAAATTCTAATTCAATACACCCGAATTTCTAAGGATTTTAATAAACTATCTTAAAATCCTGATTGAATACACATTGAATTTCATATAATCATTTAAAATCCTAATTGAATACCCCTAGATTCATTAAAAAAATTAAAATCCCTCAAAATCCTAATTGAATACACCATCTTTAGTCTCACAATGAGTTAGCAATAATTTGGTACAAATTCATTTTTGGCGAAAATTAAACCTAAGACCTCTCACTTATAAATAAAAATGAATACTACTAGATTATGATACTAAGTAACTGGTTAACTTTAATATTAAATGTTCTTTTCCAATTTTGAAAAAATTGACTTTGGTTAAGAAAGGAGCAAAAATTAACTGGTATTAAAAAAATGAGCAGCAAAGAGACACCAAACACGGCAGCTTCATCACCACACAAAAGCTAAAAGCAGCTGCTCACTCAGCCTATTTCTGCCATTTTCTTCTGCATAAACAAATTATTGTCACAGACGGAGGAGCGGAGGGTCGGTGGTAAGTTTTTACCCAAAAACCACATTAGCAAGTATGATTTTTTATGATTTCCTTTCTTGTAATTTTGGTTTAACAATGGAGTGCATATCAAGTAAGACTTCTCTTAAATATTAGAATCCGTCTTCTGTAATTTAGATTTTAGAATATTATTTCGATAAAAGTCTAAATTTTTCTGGTTGTCTAATTTGAATAACCATTTTCAATTGAGGGGAAATACCAAATTAAAAAACTCGAGAAAACTTAATATAAATCTAATTATTATTAAGAATAATTTCCTTATTGAAGTAAGTTCAGTAATTAGGAATTAAATCTCTTCCTCATCTACCTCTCACGGCTGGGTTTATCTTCATAATTTTTTTTCGGGTGCATTTTTGCTTACTATCGTCAAGTGGTGATAATGCTCACATGTGAATTTAAATTTTAAAGTCAGTGTTTGTCCACTCCACATATCTTCAAAGGCGGAGCTAGCCAAGAAGTATTAAAAAATGTTTGTTTTTTGAAAAATGACTATACGTTAATGTTATAAGCAAAGCTCGTCCAATTATTCTATGTTCATCAACCTTTAATATGGCAAATATATACATAAATAAATAGAAAAAGGTTAACACGTTGTAAAACTTTTTTAAATAGAAAAAAGTCATGCATAAAATAATTCAAAAACTAAAACATGCAACGAGTTACTTTTGAAAAGAATTAAAAGCGTTATTAGAGTAAGTAATTATTGTCACGATTAACCATAAATGGATAGCATATGAACTATAAAATAGATTTTGTTAGGAAATAAATAGTATTGGTTAATGAAGTAAATAAATAAAATAAATACATGAGCTAATAGTGAGATGAATATAAAAATAAATGAAATATAGGGAATACTTGGTTTGTACCCACAAGAGCTACCTCGGCTATAGCCCAGGCTCAGGGTTGTCATATCCCAGTCCGGGCCCTTATCATATCCCAGGTTCGACTTCATCGTAGCATGATATTGTTCGCTTTAGGCTCCGACCACGCCCTCACGGTTTTGTTTCTGGGAACTCACATGAGAACTTCCCAGTGGGTCACCTATCCTAGGATTGCTCTCGCGCGAACTTGCTTAACTTCGAAGTTCTGATGGAAACCAAAGCCAGTGACCTCCCAAAAGGCCTTGTGCTAGGTAGAGATGAGAATATACATATAAGGCTTACATGATCCACACCCCTGGGCGCGATGTGGGATCTTACAAGGGTAGCCTTGTACTTCGCTCCGCCCTTGCATATCTTGAAATTTAAACTCATTTTACGGTGATAAATAGAGTAATGAGTATATAAATTACATAGAATATATTTTTCTAGACTATCTGCTACGTATATCAATTTCCTATTTTGGTAAAATACCTGCTAGTTAGGAATTGTACTCTCTAGTTAAAGAATATAAATATTTTTATCTAAAAGGGTAAAATTGGTACAAAAATATGTAATTAGATTACTCGACTCGTTCCAAAAAACAACTTATAATTTTGGACCTGAATAAAAAATTATCTTAAAACTTATTATATAATGTCCTCAAGTGTAATTTACTTTTGTATTTGCTTCTTTACTGCAGTTGGGCAAAGTTTCATACTTCATCTTCTCAAACATGTTTAAGAGGATCACATTCATCTTGTTGGTTGGATTGCTGGCGTGGGCATATCAGGCCGCCCGACCCCCACCTCCGACCATCTGTGGTTCGCCTGGCGGTCCACCCATAACAGCGCCTAGAATAAGGCTAAGGGATGGAAGATTTTTGGCCTACAAGGAACATGGTGTTCCAAAACCAATCGCAAAGTACAAGATTATCTTTGTTCATCCCTTCAGTAGTTCCCGACACGATCTAATCATTACAATATCCGTCTCTCCGGTACTGCCTTGCTTGATTCTCTGTCACTTTTCAGTTAATTTCTATGTTGGATGATTTCGTGGTGGATTTTTATTTTTTTTTGTTTTCTCAGGAAGTCATTGAAGATTTAGGTGTGTACATTGTGTCATTCGACAGACCAGGGTACGGGGAAAGTGATCCGGATCTTAAGAGAACAGCAAAGAGCTTGGCGTTAGATATAGAGGAGCTTGGTGATCAGCTGGAACTCGGATCCAATTTTTATGTAATTGGATACTCAATGGGAGGACAGTGCATCTGGAAGTGTCTTCAGTACATCCCTCATAGGTAAGATTTTACAAGAAGCCTCCTTCGGTACCAGATGATGCATCGTTCGGTACTGAATTTTTTTTTTCTAAAGTTTGATGTGTTTGGGATGCCTATTACAACAGGCTAGCAGGAGCAGCACTGATCGCTCCGGTGATCAACTACTGGTGGCCAGGACTTCCTGCCAACTTGTCATCTTATGCCTATAAGAAGCAACCTCCGCAGGATCAATGGGCGCTTCGAGCTGCTCACTATATACCTTGGTTAACCTACTGGTGGAACACTCAGAAATTCTTTCCTAAATCCAGCGTTGTATCCGGGAAACCAGAGAATATGTTTTCCCGCCAAGATTGGGAAATCATTAGGAATGCAAAGGTTTCTGGAAGAGAAAAGCACAAGGTACTTTCCTTGTTAGATCGCTGATTGTTTAGGATTTTACAGAACTCGGCAGCGTTGATGATTTTTCTTTTGTTTTCTTTTGTTATTTGTTTGGGCAGGCACATGTCACGCAGCAAGGAGAAGCTGAGTCCATCTTTCGCGACATGGTAGTTGGATTTGGGAGCTGGGAATTTGATCTAATGGATCTGCAGAACCCCTTTGCCAGCAACGAAGGCTCGGTCCATCTATGGCAGGGTGACGAAGATAAGCTTGTGCCAGTTGAGCTGCAACGCTATATTGCCGAAAAGCTTCCATGGATTCACTACCATGAGGTACCAGGTGGTGGACATTTGTTTCCAGCTGCAGATGGTATGAGCGAAGTCATCTTAAATGCACTTCTAATTAGAGAGAAGTAGACCATTGACGTCGTTGATACAGGGCAGCTCTCTTAGAGATGCTACATTATCTTTTTTTTTTTTTTTTGGAGATGCTCTAATGGTATGGTTGTAAGTTGTAACCAAAATTTTATAGAAATAATAAAGGAACTCTCTTAATGGTGAGACTTTCAATTGACTCTCTATACCTTATATTTTTTATATAATATTTTATAACATTCGCACGATAATTAACGTTAAACTGTGGAATGATAAAAAATCAATAAAAAGTCTCATTTTAAAAAGAATTCTGCTAGCATTTGTCTACTCTTATTAGGACAACTAACAACGCCCACATATAGACTTGTCTATTTTGTCGTTTATTATGTCGTGTAGTTGAGCAGCCTCCAACTTTTGGATTGGACAAACCAACAACCACCCCTGCCTTCCTGTTCAGTGCCGACTCATAAAAATCCCAAACCAATTCTTCAAAAAAAAAAAAAAAAATTCCCAACCCAATAGAGAAAAAGAATAAAAGCGAAGAGGAAGGCTGCCAACCATGGCCACAATAGATTTTTTAATGTGACCGTTACATTAAATGATACACTACGTATCTTTATATAAATGATGTATTATGTGTGTTAAAATGTTAATAATTTAAAAATTAAAATTTTTCACCACTTACGTAGAAACACGTGATATATCATCCGTATTTCGGTTATAACTAAAAATTTCTCCATGGCCACCAACTATCAAATACCACAAGGATTTATTCCTTGTAATATGCCATTAATTCTCTTCAAAAAAATAAAAATAAAATAATATGCCATTAATTAAAATTGACCTATTTCTTGATTTGCTTCCGAACATTTATGCAACTGTTAATTTTTCTTTTGAAATTTAATTTTAGTCGATTATTATTTTAAACTGTTATAAATAGCCATTTTTTTCCTGTTAGATTTTAAATTTTTTCTTCTATTTTGGTCATGCAAGCAACACATGACAATTGTATGAAGGCAAAAAGATAATTTTGTTTTGGTAAATTGGGTGCAAAGCTAATACATTGCAGCTACTAATTCGAACAGAGAGTGAACGACATCGAGGAAGTGGAGAAAAAAAAAAACAAAAAGCAATTTGAGTGAACGGTGTCGAGGAGGTGGAGAAGGAAAAAACAAAAAGCAATTTGATGTCCACATTAAGAATAAAATTACTTTATTGTCCTCAAACATTTGTTGTGACCAAAATAGAACAAAAATTCTAAAATCTAACATTAAGGGAAAATTTGGTTAATTATAACAACTCAGGCGAGTAATCGATTAAAATTAAAATTTATACAGAAATTTAGCAACTTTTTCCAAGTTCAGAGGGAAGGAGATTGACAAATATGTCATTAAAATTACCAACAAAACTTATTTCTCCTAATCTTTACAAAAAGTCTAAGATTAAGATGGACAATTTTTCTTCGCGTCTCCATCTACGTTCGTCACTTTGACAAAACATGCAATCTGACATTCATATTTCTATTTTTTTTTTCTTTAAAATCCGGCAGATTGTCTAAGTCAAGCCAGTCCTAGACAAGAAACGAGCCTTGAAATAGGTGAAGGTGGGTTCCTCCACGTAATTTAACAACCACACAAAAGCTAAAAGCAGCTGCTCACTCAGCCTGGTTTCTGCCATTTTCTTCTGCATAAACTTATTATTATCACAGAGGGAGGAGTGTTGGTGGTAAGTTTTTACCAAAAAACCACATTAGCAAGTATGATTTTTTATGATTTATTTTCTTGTGGTTTTGGTTAAACAAAGGAGTGCATCTTTTAATTTGCAACTTATTTATTGATTGTGTGCGTTTACAGGAACAATTAGTATAATCAAATTAGCTAGAACACTGTTTCTCTCTTATATATTAAAATCCGCATCTTATAGTTTTGATATTGTAATATTGTTTTGGATAAAAGTAAAGCGTGTGTGTATTTGTTTTCTTTATACTTGATTGTCCATTTTTCTGGTTGTTGTTTGATTTAAATAACCTTTCATCAATTGAGGGGAAGTAGCAAATTAAAAAACTCGAGAAAATTTACTATAAGTCTAATTTTTCAAACTATTATTAAGAATAGTTTACTCGTTGAAATGAATTCAGTGATTAGGAATTAAATCTCTTACTGACCTACTTCTCACGGCTCGTTTTATCTTCATAATTTTTTTCCAGGTGCATTTTTGCTCACGAATCATCATTATCAAGTGATGATAATACTCACAAGTCTATTTACCATTATTTAATGGGTTTAAATTTTGAGGTCTATATATATTCACTATACATATTTGAAATTTAAACTCATTTTACGATGATAAATAGAGTAATAAGAATCACCATCACTTAAGAATAGCAAACAAAAATATTCCTTTTCTTTTTTTGTCTTTTTTTCGTTCTTCTTTCTCATTTTTGTATGGCATCTGCTACTGCTTTGTTCTTAAATGTAGAAATGAAATCCCCTAGTGTTGAATCTCGTTTGGTCAAGTCTGATTAAAGCACTCCAACCAACCCAATAAATATGAGACAGGTGGCACCAAAGCACCATGGAAGCATTCTCCTCTTTTATTTCTTGTTTTCTTTTTAATCAACTAACTCATTTTATTGTATCTTTGTGTTTTTGTTTCTCACGTTTCAAACTTCCAACATCTTCGATCTTTCTTTTCTCTCACATATCATCATCTCCTTTCTCAAAATGCATTATAATGTTTTTATGGCTACGAAAAAAAGTGTATATTTAGATTCAAATATATGATCATTTTGATTACCTGCCACATAAATCGATTTTCTATTTAATATTTAAGAATTGTATTCTTTAATTAAAGAATTTAAATATTCTTATCTAAAAGGGTAAAATTAGTATCAAAACATGTAATTAGATTACTGAACTCACTCCCGAAACAACTTATTTTTGGACCTAAATCTAAAAGCACTTTAAACTTATTATACAATGATGTCCTCTAGTGTAATGTTATTTTTCTATTTGCTTCTTTTTACTGCAGGTGAGTAAAGTTTCTTACTTTCCATCTTCTCAAACATGTTTAAGAGGATCACATTCATCTTGTTGGTTGGATTGCTGGCGTGGGCATATCAGGCCACCCGACCACCACCTCCGAACATCTGTGGTTCGCCTGGCGGTCCACCCGTCACAGCGCCTAGAATAAGGCTAAGGGATGGAAGATTTTTGGCCTACAAGGAACATGGTGTTCCAAAACAATTGGCCAAGTACAAGATTATCTTTGTTCATCCCTTCTTTAGTTCCCGACATGATCCAATCATTGCAACAGCCGTCTCTCCGGTACTGCCTTGCTTGATTCTTTGTCATTTTTCAGTTCAACTCTTTATTGGTTGATTTCGTGGTGCGTGTTTTTTTTTCCTTTCCTCAGGAAGTTATTGAAGATTTAGGTGTGTACATTGTGTCTTTCGACAGACCAGGGTACGGTGAAAGTGATCCGGATCCTAAGCGAACAACGAAGAGCTTAGCGTTAGATATAGAGGAGCTTGGTGATCAGCTGGAACTCGGATCCAAATTTTATATGATTGGATACTCAATGGGAGGACAGGTCATCTGGAAGTGTCTTCAGTACATCCCTCATAGGTAGGATTTTGCAAGCAGCCTCGTTACCTGATGATGCATCGTTCGGTACTGAAAATTTTCTCTAAAGTTCGATGAGTTTGGGATGCCTGTTACGACAGGCTAGCTGGAGCAGCACTGATCGCTCCGGTGATCAACTACTGGTGGCCAGGACTTCCTGCCAACCTGTCGTCTTATGCCTATAAGAAGCAAGCTCCACAGGATCAATGGGCGCTTCGAGCTGCCCACTATATACCTTGGTTAACCTACTGGTGGAACACTCAGAAATTCTTTCCTAAACACAGGGTTATGTTGTCCCGCCAAGATTGGGAAGCCATTAAGAATGCAAAGGTTTTTGGAAGAGAAAAGCACAAGGTACTTTCCTTATTCGATCGCTAATTGTTTACGATTTTATAGAAACTCGGCAGAGTTGATGATTTTTGTTTGTTTTGTTATTTGTTTGGGCAGGAACATGCCACACAGCAAGGAGAAGCTGAGTCCATCTTTCGCGACATGGTAGTTGGATTTGGGAGCTGGGAATTTGATCCTATGGATCTGCAGAACCCCTTTGCCAGCGACGAAGGCTCGGTCCATCTATGGCAGGGTGACGAAGATAAGCTTGTCCCAGTTGAGCTGCAACGCTATATTGCCGAAAAGCTTCCATGGATTCACTACCATGAGGTACCAGGTGGTGGACATTTGTTGCCAGCTCCAGATGGTATGAGTGAAGTCATCTTAAGGGCACTTCTAATTAAAGAGTAGACCATTGACGTCGTCGATACAGGGCAGTTCTCTCAGAGATGCTACATTTTATACAAATTATGTTCCAAGACAAATCTAAATCTTTGTAATGTTACAATTCAAATAGAGGAAATAATGAGAGTCGATTTGAAATTAGTTGTATGATGTTCCATATCTAAGCCCATTTTTATGGCTACATCCAGCGAATTAGTACCTGGAAGGTGTACGAACAGCAAAGTTGGAACTACACAAATGACGGATGCAATGCGATTCGTGCAAATGTAACACCCAAAAGGTAAAGCATCTCTTTAGAAACGCGATAATTGAAACTACAGGAACAAGGTGTTGGATTTCCACCCATGTAATACCTGCATGTGGTCCAATATATCCTAGTAATAGGGTGTTGGATTTCCACCTATGCATCAAAGGCTCGAAACTCCCCCTCCCTCAAATTATTGTAATAGTTTTGAACCTCCCCCCTCCTGTTAATAATAATTTAAAAAATAAACCACAGAGACCAAAATCAAACTTTGTACATGCCAGCACCACTCTGTTAGTTCTTCTACTTATCACCCTTTTCCAGCCTATACTAACTGCTAGCTATCATTTTTAGTGAACGCTATCAATCTTCCATTTCTAATTCCTGCTAGAAGTGAAAGATGCAATGCCGTACTTTCGAATGAACAATAGAAAATTTATTCATTATTGTGTCAAAGACAATGAGTAGAAAGACCATAATTGGAATAAAGGGCAAAAAATAAGTTACAAATGCATGAAACAAGCAACAGAAACTGTCAAACTGCGAGCAACTCGGATAATCATTTCAAGCCAATTCTTCGGTTCAGCCTAAAAGCATTATCCATACAGCCATTTGAATAGGCCTAAGAAGGAATAGGGTGTTGTGAAACAAAAGAGTTCCGAGCTTACTTCGACAATCCAGTTTCAGGGTTGAGAAGAAGTCTAATCTTAGACGAAGAGGAACGCAGAGAATACCGCCATGATTCTCCTGTTCTTGGACCTAGTTCCAACGAAGAAGAAAAACATTCTCTCTACACTTCCCACGTGACGAACTCCCCATTTTGAAGAAAAAGTTCTTTTTCCATTTCCCACGTGTCCAACTTCCCAATTTTTTCTTTTATATTTTTTTTAATTGTTCTCTAATCAGGTTGTGTCACCTATCATTTTAATAAATAAAGGGATGGTGGATTACTAAATCAATATTTTTTATGACACATGTTTGACACCATTATTTCTTTTAAAATTCACTATACATATGACATTTGAAAAATATTTCGTAAAACATTGCGTCTTGTAATCACTTTGTAATATCCCACATTGACCAACAGAGAGGGGGTGATGTGTCTTATATGTACATGCTCCCCTCCCTATAGCACGAGACCTTTTGGGAGCTCACTGGCTTTGGAGTCCATCAGAACTCCAAAGTTAAGCGAGTTCGGGCGAGAGCATTCCTAGGATGGGTGATCCACTGGGAAGTTCTTGTGTGAGTTCCCAGAAACAAAACCGTGAGAGAATGGTAAGCCCAAAACGGACAATATCGTGCTACGGCGGAGCCGGACTGGGATGTGACACACTTAAACTTTCATCTCATACCATCTAATTCACTAAATTGCTAAAGCAAAAATTATGATGTTTTTGTATGTTATTGTTGACCCTAAAAACTACCAAGCCTACGTAGCGCACAGGCCGAGTAATCTATAAGCTAACTACGTCCTTCGGTGAATGCAGAGCGTGCCAACTCGTCGGTCGAGCTCGACCGAGAAGTAAATTTATTGATGTTGCGTTGGGTGCGTGGCTGACTTCTGCGTCTTGCGATTGCGACCGAGGAAGGAACACATCTCGGCCTCTTGGGTTCTCGAACCTGAAGACAAGGCTACTATTCTTACGAAGTTCACGAATCGTCGTCGTCGGATTCGGTCACAGTGATGTTGTTCGTCAGAGTAAACTCACGCCGAATTGACACTAAAGTGTAAGGGCACAAATACTCAAAGTGAATATAAGTCTTAATAGTGAACGTGGTTCGGCCGTCTGAATGCTGAACTCTAAATCCCACTTGAGAGTATCCAATCATAAAATAACTCGGCGTGCAATGCGCCGAGTTCAGTAAACTGTAACACCTCACTTCGCCGAGAAGGCTAATGAGATGACCTCAATCAATAAGGATTTGGAAATCCTTCTCGACTGAGACTTGGATAGGTAACCAACCGTCATCGCCGCAGTGCTGTTGATGCCAACAGAAGATGCTGCGAGACCGACTGATTCTACGGTGATAGAGCTATTTATGCCGACTTAAGATATCACCGGTTGCTTTCACAGTGCTGTTGATGCCAACAGAAGATGTGTCAACGAAAAGAGAAAATAAAAATCTCAAAGTTGTTGTGAAAGTTTGCGCAGGGTTGTTGTGTGTTGAATTGAAGGGGCCTGAATGATGTACAACCTCCTCTATTTATAGCACCCGATACCTTCAAGGTCGAGTTAAAACCCTACCCGGATTATGACTTCTTCTCCTGATCAAATACCAACTCGACCAGTCCTATTTTCACCATATTTGTGAACCTAGTCCTTTATTAAGCCGGATTCACTTCGGGGTTATTAATCTTGCCGAGACTCCTCATTGCACCAGGATTCGACTCGTCTTGCAGCATGGCTTAACTGACCCAGGTTCGGAAGCCCACGACCTAACCGGTCCAGAACTAAACGCTGGGCCGAGAATAATTCTATACTCGGCCCAAACTGATATTTTTGGGCCCAAACATTGCCCCCTCGCTTTTGAGGTCCTAGGCCTGAATCCTCTGGTCGAGCTCCGGCCTTAAAGAAGTGAAATTAAAACTCAAAATCCAAATACTCTTATTCTCGAGGCGCATTTATTGAGCACGATTGCACGATCTCGATCTTGCTAACCAATACACCATGTGGCATCCTTTTATACGGCTAATCCCCAATAATGACGTTTAAAGCGTGCGGCTCCCTGAACCGTCATATCATCATAACCTCGTTGCTGAACATAACCATGCTGCCTCGATCTGCGAACCATTCAGCATCGTGCAGACGCCAAAACATTTTTCACCATAAATCTCACCGCCATACGCAATCGTGCGTCCCCCTAAACACGAAACCTTGGTCTTCTCAACTGGATTTTCTAAATGTTCATAATGATTAGCGAATTTCTCGATCGATTTTACCCTTCATTTTGAATTTCGAACGATTGCCCTTCCTTCCACCGTTCTATAAATACCGAAATTCTCTCATTTGTACTTTACGCTTTCAAATTTTCTGAAATTCTTGCCATCGTTCTCTGGTGCACTCCTTCCTTCCAGATCTTTGTCTTCAAATCTCCCAACCCAGAAAAGCTCATTTCGTCTCGCATTCTTTTAATCCCCTTACAATGGCTTCCTTCATCTCCAAGCTTTCCAAGGAATGCGACCAATGTCAGAACATTATTGATCGAAGTTCGATCAAAACCATACGGTTCGAAAGTGACATGAGCACCCCTCATCAAATCTTGGGTCATTTCTTTAAAGCGACAGTACCATCAACCATCATTGGGCTTCTCTAGAAACATTGCCTGTCGCCTTTGCTACAAGGGTTTGAATGGCCGAAGTGGGATGTGGCAAGGCCTCAAGGCTCTTGGCCTTCGACCACTACAACCTGGGCAGCCTGGGTTGTATGAATGGAGAAGCTCTTCGGCGAGCAATGGAAATTCCTCGGCATTTACGATGCCATTCACCTCTCGTCTATGGAGGTCATCCTGGACAAGGAGCTCCTCCTAGCGGCCTTATGCTTCTAGTGTTCGGCCACCAACACCATGGTCATCCCTCTCGGCCCCATTGGCCCCACCATCCTTGATCTCACTGACATCTTGGGGACTTCCCCGACTGGAATCCCAATTGACGCTGCCCTCTCTGGGTACCCGTCGAACCTTAACTTGAAGGCACTCTTCGACAAACGGGCCCTTGAGATGCTAAGCGGTGAAGGCCAAATACCCTCGAAAGAAGAGGTTTACAAGCTTCATAAGAACTTCTTCAACTATAACACCCTCTATTTCCATTTTACCGGCCGAGGAGAAGAAGCTCTGCGAGAAGGAGAACACGAGGCTTTCCTCTTTTATTGGTACAATAAATTTATCTGTTGTACCAAATCTAATAAGTGTCTGGTCGAGAATATGCCAGTGGCCGAAGCCCTAGCAAGCGGTCACACTCTAGCACTCAGCCCGGCCATTCTCGCCCATCTCTTACGCTGCTTGGCCGAAACAACCCTAGATAAGGTCAATCCGCAGCAGAATGGTCCCCTCTGGGTCTTCCAACTCTGGCTGTAGGTTTACTTTGCTCCTCTTTAGCCAACGATTGCCGATTTCTCGCCTAAGGAAGCGCTCGGCCCTCAGCTGACTTTTCGGCCAATCCCCTCTCACCAAGTCGAAGAAGTGTTCAGATACTTTTTCACTCTTGACGACCTTTCTGATGATGAGTTCTTGATCTACCGTCATCGAGAATACCCTTCGTCGATCAGACTCCCTACATCAGCGTGGGACACGAACGAAGATGCCGACCTTCATCCATCCTAGGGGTCTTTCGTGCTTGCCCGCGACCTGTCTCTCGGCTATGAGGGTCGCTAAGCGAGTTGGGAAGTGTATCATCCCAACTTCCTCGCTCATTAGCTTGGCTACCTTCAAGGTTGCCCAGTCCCCCTTCTCTCCTCACGGTCCGTCCTAAGCCGCAGACGCGAACCTGGCTCTTCAGAGAATGAATGCAACGACGCCAAAAGAGAGTTCCAGGAACGGTGCCAAAAATTCCATCTTCGACCGGTCACTCTAGAGCCTCTTTACACTGACACCTTCGGTGATTGGTGGGAAGAGTATACCCAATAGTTTTTTGGTGTTTCGGTCGAAACCGTTCTGAACAAAATCTTCGGTGATTGACCTAAGAAGGCTCCTGCCCCCCAACCCCAAGGTAACCGTTTATTTCTACCTTTTTCTTCAATTTTAAACTACTGATCGGCTTTGTTGATTTGCTTTTACTTTTCCAGGTAGTCGGCCATTGAAAAAGGTGGAAGTGGTCGTTGCGGCTGCGGCCGCGGCCGCGGTCGAGAAAAAATCAGTCGTTTCCAAGAGGGCCAAGATCGCTGTGCAGGCTGTGCTGAGCAAACGGCCT